CCCTGCCTAAGGGTACGTGTCAATGGGGCGAGGGTTCCCTTTAGGGGCGGATCCAGGCCTTTGTTTAAAAGGATTAATGTGAACACATATATAATTTTGAAAATAAAATGTAAAAATACATGTACGTACATATTTTTTTAGAAATTTATATAGGGTAATTTTAGATATTATTTCTTACATCTAATCTTATTCACTAGTTTTTTGTTGTCGAAAAAGTTACATAACTTCAGTTGGATCGAACAAAATTATCGTTCAACATTTTAATGATAAATTAATTTTGAACACCAAAATTTTTATCGCAAGATCCGCCATTGATTCCTGTCACGTAGTTCGAGTGAGTGTTGCTAGTGCCGTACGAGTTCGAGAGAATAAGTCCGTGACATTCCCAAGAGGAAAAATGTGGTGGATATTCTGACAAACGTGGTAGAGCGGACAATTTTTTTGGAGAAACTTATCCCGTAATTTCACTCTCCCATCATGCATACATAATATGTCTAGCTGTATGTATAAATTGTTAATTATTTTTTTGAAAGGATGTATAAATTGTTAATTGAACAAGAACAATCATGTATTTAATTACATATATTATTGCAATTGTTATTATTTAACTAATTATACTATATAAGTCTCTATAATCTAATTAAGCAAAAATCGAATTAAGTTGATGGTTGCATGTAGTCTTCTTCATATATAAATACTGTTGGTCTTTTTCAAATATGAGAATGGTGCTAATCAAATTTATGTTTCAAAATAACGTACATAAACAATACCAAAAATATGGTTTCTACAGGCGGCACTCGCGAGTCGCGATACCTGGTTGCTTAAATCAATAATTATCATTATTTTGTGAGTTTGCTCCAAATAATAATTCAAGTGTTCGCCTCGTTTTAAATATTTCATACTCAATATTTATCTAATAATACATATGTCCTATATAAAAGATCTCATCTACGTAGTAGGCTTGGACTCGGGTCGGGCCACCCGGCCCGTGGACCGGCCCGGCCCGTGGACTGGCCCGGCCCGCTACTGTGCGGGACCGGGACCGGCCCGGTTCTCGGGTCCGGGTCCGGGTCGGGCCTAGGCCCGGGGGGTAGGGCGGGTCCGGGCTCGGGTCTGAATTTTGGTGAACCGGCCCGGCCGGGTCGGGCCCGGGCCCGGGCCAAATTGATTCTTTTTTTTATTTTTTTTTCATTTTTGGGCTTCCACCCGGGTTGGGCTTGATGGGTAGGACCGTAGGATGGGTTTGGGGGGGTTTGGGAGGGGGGGGGGGGTTAGGAAATCAAAAAAAAAAAAAAAATCCAACCCGGAGGCCCGGCCCGGACCCGGACCGGACCCGGTGGCTACCCGGGCCGGTCCCGGGTCCACCATTCTTGAACCGCCGGCCCGGCCGGGCCTAGGCCCGACCCGGACCCGGCCCGGACCCGAGTCCACCCCTACTACGTAGTATATATTCTCCAGCCAACGTAATTATATTTAAGTTTTTTTTTTACTTTATATATCTAACTTATATCAATCTTTTTGAGATATTATGAATATTTAATGTAATTTCTGAATATGTAAATATTTTAGATAGCCAACATGTGACATAAGAGACAACCAATGAAAAAACAATAAATAGAATATCTCTCTCCTTATTTGAAGGATCTTATATCATTTTGATAAGTTTTTCTTCACAATGTCAAGTACAATGTCTAGATGTAGACATTGTGATTGACATTGCAGGAAAAAACTTACCAAAAACATATAACACCGTGAAAAGACGGAGAGAGAAATGTCAAAAAATCAATATTTGTGTCTATTTTTCTTATGTCACATGTGCACCGTGTACGTTGTAGCATTGAAGATGGTCTAAAAAGCACAAATTTTGGACCGCCGGCTATTCATGGAGGAGAAAAATGAACTTCATGCACAATTAGGCAAAAACCATTATATGCATGCGGTGTTCACACAAGTCGGCGTCAGACGTGATGGCATTGAGGCGCCACATAATAAGAAGTCAACGGATGAAGACCATTTAGTCATGAAATAGTCAAAGTCAATGCGGCTCCCTGATTTCATACAAAAAATAGTCTTAAATAGAACTAGAACATAGAAAAAGGCATAAATAGAACACACCGTTTTCTTTCCCAAATAAGATTTATTCACTTTTAATAAAGGAAGATTTATGTTTTCAATAGGATCAAATACCTCATATTTAAGGAATTCTAGACATATAATCTTGTTAATACACTTCAGTTAACTTCAGTTTTGAATTCTGAGTTATAGTTCTTTCATGCAGGCAGAACACATATCTATTATATTTCCAATTGATACATATCCGGTTCACTATAGAATACCACGCACTACAAAAACCTAAGTAACTATATAAATTGGCACAGAATTCGCACGAAGTATGCACAAAAACATATAATTTCGGTAAGGCTACGTACCAATAACTCACGGCGAAACGACTTTAATTTGATACAAATTTAGTCTTGGGTTTTGGCAAGAAACAGCAAATCGATGTTAAAATGCCGGCAAAAAACAAAGCAGATTATTATATATTATTAGGGCATACTTAATAAAGCATACCCTAAAATCCTAAAATACACTCAGAGTACAAAAGACTCCTAGTTATTTTTTATTTTATTTATTATTATTATTATACAGCTAGACATCATCATCGGCGACAAGACTCGATCGGGGTCAATTCTGGTCAACTTCGGAGCCGGAATTCCACGCTTCATCATCGGTGTCACTCTCTTCAACCAGTGGCACATTCAAATCCCAGTCCAACATGGCTTGCTTCTACAGCGGCGGCGGCGCCACTGTTGGAAAAACACTCCCTTTTGTACTACAAAACTATTATGTAATAGCTTAGATTTTGATCAAAGTATAGAAACGAAGTAATATAGACTGAATCGTTTATGATGTGCTATCTTCCATTCTTTCTTTTATGGGGAAAAATCCATTACACTCGGATAAAAAAACCCCCATATGCACACCTACTTAAATACAACAAATGCAAAGCATAACCAACCTCACATATGGTTTAGTAACCACATGCACAAGTACATAATAAACATGCAGCTCCTAAATGCACTCCTAAATACATGGACAAATTAACTTATTAAATTTGACTAAGTAAAACAAGTTAAAAACCCACATTCTCCCCCTTAAGCTTGTTTTACTTCTCCAATAGTTTTCATTCCAATCTTGTCTCGCAACTCAATGTATCTCTGCCTTCCAAGGGGTTTAGTTAGAATGTCTGCTAACTGCCCTTGTGTCTTGGTATGCTCAAGCTCAATAACCCCGTGTTCAACACACTCACGAATGAAGTGAAACTTAGTGTCAATATGTTTACTCCTTTCATGGTAGACTGGAGTTTTTGCTAAAGCAATTGCAGACTTATTATCAACTTTGAGTAGTGGTTTTACCTGCCTAGTCCTGTCCAGACTCTCTAACATTCTTTTGAGCCAAATACCTTGACAAGCACTCCCAGTTGCTGCTATGTATTCAGCCTCACAGGATGATAGGACTCTCTCCAAGGAAATAGATGATGCCAGTAGTACTCTTCCTATCATCTGTGTCTCCTGCAAGATCACTGTCACTATACCCAACCAAACTTTCATCATTTTGAGCCTTCTTGTACACACAACCCATTCCCAGTGTTCCCTTTACATATCTTAGGATCTGCTTGACTGCACTCATGTGTGAAGTGGTAGGGGTCTCCATATACCTGCTGACAACTCCAACAGAGTAGGCTAAATCAGGGCGTGTATTGACAAGATACCTGAGACTTCCAATGATGCTTCTGTATAGAGTTGTGTCTACAGGTGGTTCACCATCACTTTTGCTTAACTTACTTCTTGGTTCCATTGGAAGTGAGCATGGATTGCACTCTCCCATTCCAACTTTTTCTAGGATCTTCTTTGCATAGTTTGACTGACATAGGGTGATAGCCTCTTTATCTTGCTTCACTTCTATTCCCAAGTAGTGACTTAGCAGTCCTAAGTCACTCATCTCAAACTGAAGCATCATATCATGTTTAAAACTTTTGATAGAATCAGGACTTGGGCCGGTAAGAATCAAATCATCCACATATACTCCAACAACCAGAATGTCATCTCCTTTCCTTGTGGCACCGCAGGTGCCCGAACATCGCTCTCTCCGTCGCGAACACCGCCCCGCAAGTGTCGCAGACATGTTCCTCGTACGGCTGTGGCGGCGGTGATGGATTCGCCGCAACCGCACCCAATGACATGCCGCCGTCGTCGAGATGGTTTTCCTCGGTTACCGGTGACGGTGCATTGCTTCCCATGCTGGAGGGCAGGAATTAATTAAATGGCTTAGGCTCTTAGCTGCTGGGTTATTATCTGGGGTGTTTTACCAAAACACGGGAAAACTGGGATATACTTGCCAAAAAACGGGGATTTATGTAGGGTTTACCAAAATATGGGAGTCGGAACTGCAACTTCCGACCCTTTCGGAAAAACAATTTCCTCCCTCCAGTCGGATTAGCCAATTCCGACGGGGTTTTTTTTTTTTTAATTTTTGGCCGCTTTTCATTTTCAAAGTTTTTTAAAACTAAACTTTTAAATTCTCTCATGTCGGATCTACCACTTCCAACTAGGAAGTTTTTATTATTTTTTAATTTAAAGTTTTTAATTTCCAACTAAAGTTTTAAACTAAATTGGCCAATTTCATTCATGTTTAAATTTTTAAATTGGTCGAATTTCTCTTTTTTTAATTAGTCGCCAATTTAATTTTTAAATTGGCCTAAAGTTATAGTTTTTAATTTTATTTTTTTAAATCCATTTGTATTGTGAATAAAATTCATAAAATGAGATACAAATTTGAATTTGTTTTAAATGCGATTTGTAAATTTAATGAAAGTGAACAAAACAAATGTAGGTTTCAAGGTAATTTATTAATAAATAGATAGTACATACAATAATATAAATTTAATGATACTACATCTAACGTTGCGTGCTCGGCCCTGCTCCGTCCCCACCGCTAGTGTTCCAAGGCCCCATTGTGTCTCCATAGTAAAACGACGACGAATCCAGAAATGAATCAACATAATCAACCGCTTGTGTGGAGTACTGATAAGAATCATAATACGGCGGTGGTTGATCAAATGAGACACCTTGATGCGTTGAGAATTGAGGGGGTGGTTGATCAAATGAGACACCCTCACGTGTTGAAAATTGAGGGGGCGATTGTGAGTGCTCACCCCCACCTTCATGTTCATCTGCATCATCCTCTTCGTCACTTCCACTTTCATCTTCATCTTCATCTTCATAATGGAATATGCCCCGGCGGAGCATCTCTTCATCACCTACGTCCAGGGCCATCCGCTGTAGTCGTTTTTGACAGTCCTCATGACTTGCGCGGTCGGCTAAGAGCTGATTCAGCTCGTAAAAGCTCTGCCTCTGCATAAAAATGTAACACGTGTAAATAATATGACATGATATATGTTAATGAATATAGTATGTATTCAAAAACTTACCACAATACCCCAATCGTGTGATGTCGGGATGTAGCCTGTCGTGGGCACATTGTGAGAAGGGTTCTGGACACGTGTCATACCATGCTTCTGGTACCATTTTCGGTACCTCTTAGTTGCTTCGACGGACATATGTCGATCATAATCAAGAAAGTATATATTATGTTGTATGTCCGCCCACAACGCCAAGGCACCGGTTACTATGTTGGAACGATTGCCGTGATGATCAGTACCCGCCAAAGGAGCATCCGGAGTATCTTGCCTTATATGGAACTGCCGAAGAAATCGATCGGGGTAATGCATTTCGGCCATATTGCAAAATATGAGCATGACCCTAGCCGACCAAAGCGGAGCGTCATTAAGGATGATAGGTGGGAGTTCCTCGGACGCGTAGGGAGTGAAATCAAACTGTAAAAATTTTAATTTGCAATTTAACCACTATAAAACAATGTGTATTAAAAATTGAATAGTACGGTGGAAGTAAAAATTTGAAGTACTACCTGACTCTCACTCATTCGGTCTAGGTCATCCCGGTACAGGCGTATGCAGTGTCTTGGGGATCCCTTATATGACTTGGGGACGATCCACCTACATTTATTTATTACCGAAATGAATTTAAAAACTCTAACGTCATATAACGCATTCTCAATTATTAAGATGTAATTGCCAACATACCTGCACCCATATGGAAGATGGTCATGTTGAATGACCTGAACTACTGAGGGACGGACCATCGAAATCCCCGACCAAGCCCAAATCTGTAACAAGTGCATACAACCGCCAACTTGTTTGGTTTCCCACTTGGCGCCGTTGCACAAGTTATGGTAGAGGTACCCGAGAACCGCTGATCCCCAACTCCATCGACGGGCTAAAGCCAAGTCACCCTGCAAGACCTCCAAAAAGTATAATCGTATTCTTGTCCCACTCGTGTCAGGGAACAAAAGGCCTCCAAGCAATTGCCATATTAGGGTTCTGGTGTGTTCGGTGACCTCTTCGTCTGTACTGTCAGGTAGGATCTGGTGACGGGTAAGAGCACTCATGGTGATATCACTCGTGCGCATATCAGTCTCTAGAGGAGTGAAACCACACGACTGCGTGCACAGGTCGATCCATTGAGCCTTACCCTTAACGGTTGGACCACTGAGGGGCATACCCCGAATGGGCAAACCAAGGATCATCGCCACATCTTGTAGACTAATGCCGACCTCACCGAATGGAAGATGGAAAGTATGTGTCAGTTGGTATGCAGTTGGTAGAATAAATGGAATGGGGTACGTACGGTGACCATATAAATGCAGTTGGTAGAATAAATGAATACAGATAAAACACGTAGTGCAAACAATAAAATGAAAATAAAACGAGTTGGTTGGTAAAATGTTCTAATCACAATTAAACACGTCATTTTTTTAAAAAAATATCAAAATACCCTAGTCGGATTTCCCAATTCCGACTAGGTTTTTAATAAATTTTATCCGCTTTACGCATTGTTTTAAAAAAAAATCAAAAATACCCTAGTCGGATTCCCCAATTCCGACTAGGTTTTTTTAATTAAATTGGCACTTACCTCTAGTCGGATTGCCCAATTCCGACTAGGGTTTCAACCCTAATTCCGGACTTCCCCTCCAGTCGGAATTGCCAATTCCGACTACCGTAATTTGGTAACCTAAAAGGAACTCCCGTATTTTGGCTTGTCAGACGGGAGATTCCCGTATTTTGGTAATTTTCTCTATTATCTGTTGGAGCTCTTGCGAGTCGCTGTCAGGCACTCAGGCTATATATAGAATGTTTTGGGCTGTTTTTCAGTCCCGATTACGAACAGATCAGAACAGATTAGAATAGCTCATATCAAACAACATCACATAGAACTTATCTAATCAAACCAGACTCATGTAGTTATGAAATACATAGAGACCGAACCAGTTTAGACCAGACCAGACCAGACTAGACTAGCAAATTTCAGTCCAAAAGAAACCATCCATAGTGCTGATGGCTGGATTTTTTGGGCAAAAAAATCTTTCTAAATATATATAGGGGTCAACCAAGTTGCACGGTGCTCACCATATATACATTTGAGTATTTTGGATGTTTTGTTTCGGATTGAAATTTTCTTATCTAGTCTGATCTGATCGAGTTTGGTCTGGTCTGATCTGGGATTGAAAATAGTCCAAAAGAAAACATTATGATAAAAGAAAGGGAAAAATAATTAAAATACCCCAAACTTTGAAGGAGTGTGAGATAAGCACCCCAAACTTTCATATTCAATTTAAATACCTCAATTTTTATATAAAAAGTAATTTTAGCACCATGGTCATATATTATTTCTTTGAAATATGTAAATTTTTGGTGTTAATTATTGCATAATTTAAAATAGTAAATTTAAATTTTTGCAATTATATAGTGGAGGTAGTATTTATTTATTTAAAAGTGAAAGTTTAGAATGTTGATCGTATTTTTTTACATAAGATGCTATATTTCTTGGGCGCCTCTAATTCTTGTTAATGTACGTGATAAAGGGGGACTCAATAATTATTTAGTTTACTTCTCTTCTAATATATTTAATATGTTAAAACTTTCTTTTGTACGTGATTGGTTTTAAAGTTGATCTTTGTTTCAGGTTGCGCGCCTAGCTAGGATATTGATTATCACCATAATATCTGGCATCCCATTTGAAGGTGAATCCGAAGCACGTTTTGTTGGCTGGTAATTCTTTATATGTTTTTTCCCATTTGCTAGATAATTTCATGTGTGGCATTGGCAGAATATTATAATGTCTTACTTTTCAGTTTGATTAATGTCTCTTTGGTGATGCTCTTCCATTTTTGTCTTCCTTATGCCAGGTTGTTAATCGTTTGAGAATTAACAGTTGAAAATTTTGATGCCATCTCTCGTGGAGTTTCCGGCGGAAGTACGTGCTCTGATCCATGGATTTTATTCCATGAAGTATCAAATCTCGTCAATTGGTTGTATTTTTTAAATTATAGAAGTTTTACATTTTAATTAGTATAACGTAGTATGTTATTCACGTTTTGAGCTACTTCCTTATCAAAAAATATTCCATAGATAGATGATGAATGTTCTTTTTTTGAAAGTACATCTTAGTGATTTGATAATTCTTGTGTTGCTGAGTATAGTGTAATTCCAATTCTGTAATTATATTTCAAGATATTGTAGTTTTAATTTGTTTGAAAATATAGAACCTTTAGCGTCCACATGTGGAGCTCATGTATTTGGCATATTTCATGATCTTGTGTTCATATATTTTGCATTCAATAATATTTTTTTGGGAAAAACACCACCTTTAGCGTCAACATGTCACACAAATAGTGTTTTTTTTATTTTCACAAAAATCATTTTTAGCGTTGACATAGTCGACGCAAAAGATAAATATTATTTGCGTTGGCAGATGTTGACGCAATTCCAAATAATGTTTTTGTGTCATCACATTAGCGTGCACATGTTGACGCAATTATGCTATTTGCGTCGATTTTAGACTTTTTGTGTTGATTTTTTGTCGACGCAAAAAACATTTTTTGTTGTAGTGTTAACACAAAAAATTACTCCATAACATTTTTTAAAGAAGTAATACATGACTACTACGGTGCTACTAACATAACTTTTTATATAAAGTTGGGGATATTTAAATTACATATGCAAGTTGGGGGTGCTTAGCTCACACCCCTTCAAAGTTTGGGGTATTTTAATTGTTTTTTCCTTAAAAATGAGTATTAGTATTAAGTCACTCTATTTGTAGCACAATGGAGTATTAGAAACATACAATTGATTATCATGGCCAATTAAGCATGTAATATATACTATAAATTAACTTATTCATTTAACTATATTATCATTGTATTATCATCAAAATATTTATTTTGCTAATTTCATAATTGAGTACTAATACTAATTTCTTTTAAATGTTATAAACTCATTTCTTTTAGTATAAAATACACGCTTGTACGGTGCAGTACGGTATAACCTGCCATTATTATCAAACTCTCAAAGAAAAGTTGTATATAATTTGAATTGCATCTCAATCAAAGAGTTAGTATACATTATTACGTATCATACAACATATATTATACTCTCCCATCTCAAAAACTCAAAAAGGATTGCCAAATTGGTTTTCTTTGGTCAATGCTGATAATCAATTTTGACCAAGGATACTTTTTTAATACATAATTATTTTGAATATGAAGGTTATATCAAAATGCTCCTTATTCAAAGTATTTTCATAAAAGTGTAAAATTTATAAGTTATACTCCGTATACAATAATACAAATATAATAATTAAAATCATTGTTCAAAGTTTGTCATAATTGACAAAGTAAAACCAATATGTATGTCAAATCTTTTCAAGACAGTGGGTAGTAATAGGTATGGATTACATCCCAAAAACAAAAAAGAAAATATAAAATCATATAGAGGATTTGATATCAATATTGCTAAAAGAAAAAATTGGGCAACAATAAGGCTACTTTTAAAAATATTCAAAAGAGTAAATTCCAGGGCTTTTATACTCCTCCCCTATTGATACTCAACACCAGAGCCACCAATGGTTAGTGCCAACAGGGCGTAGCTAAGGGAGGGCCTGGACGGGCCCTGTCACCCCCAACAAATACTTGTATTTTATAGGTAAACATTTGTGTGAAAAGAATATTTATACCAACCAAGTCTAACTTATGCTCCTTGCTATGCCCCTAATCAACCGCCAAAGCCGGCCAATGACCACTGCCCCCCGTAACTACCTCCGACAGTGACCATCACCGGCCAGTGACCAGTAACGTTGGCCAGTGATCTCTATCAACCATCACCGGCCGGTGACCACTGTTGTATAGTGACCGTCGTCGTTGGCCACAACGACCACTGTCAACCACAATCATCGGGTCAGCCAGTACCCACCGCCGGTCACAGTGATCACCGACCGTCGTCGTCCAGTTGCTCTTACAAACATGTGGTCATCGTTAGTAAATGTCCAGCACTCTGCCTAATTTTGTGAGCTTCGCCTCGGTCCTTTTTACTGATACCTTTTGCTCCACCCCAACCTCCCGATCCATTTGACCGCCTCACCACCCCCACCCCCCATCCTTCCCAATCGTCACACCTTATACCAGAAACCTAAATGCCACCCAAATTTAGCTTGCACCGTCATACATGACCGGTGAAACCGCCACCCCCGACAAACCTAGCATTGGCCACGGCTCCCAATGCCCTAACCCCGGCCCGAGTCACGTCGGTTTTAGGTTTTATTGCAGGGGTTCTGTTTTCCTTTCAGATGAGAATTAGTCACTTGTTATTGAGATTCAAATACGTTTCTATATTTGTCTACTCGAAAATCATGAGTAATATTTTTCTCTTTCACTCATATACTCCCTCCGTCACAAATTGTTTTGCACAGTCAACAATTTTTGGTTAACCAATAATAAAAGTCAATCCTCCGATCCCTATCGATAATTAATTCAATTTTTAATAATTAAAACTTACATATTCGGAAGTTACATTAAAATCTCTATAAAGATGTAATCTCCAAATTAGAATATAATTAAAAATTGACATCCTAATTAAGCAAATAAAATGAAATTGTTTAACCAAGAAAAGACAAATTTGCAAATCAATTTGGGACGGAGGTAGTATATACTATGTAGTCTGTATATATGTATGTATGAGGTTTCCCATAAATAGTATTCCCTCCGTCTGTTGAAAGGTTCATGTGGGTAAATCACCTGATTTTATAGACAAGTAATTAAATAAAGTAATTTGGGTAAAAAAGAAAGGAAAGAGAAAATTTAGAAAAAGTAAACATATAAAGCGCGCTAAAGTAATTAAAGGGTGATGAGTTAGGAAAGATATATTTGAATAAAGATATAATTGAAGAGAGTAAATTTTTTCTAAAATGGAATGAGAACCTTTAAATGGGACAACCTAAAAAGGAAAATGAGAAACTTTTGACAGGACGGTAAGAGTAGTATATTGAAGTTAAATTTCAAAAATATGATAAAATGCGACTATTTTATACATGGACAAAAATGAAATAAAATTGGAAATTCATAATGTCACTACTAGTTTGGTATATGTCACCGGTATCACCGTTCAAAAAAAAATATTGCGACT